TTATCAGTTTTTCCATTACTGTCTTATTCTAGAATAACAACATCATCATCAACCAAACCTTATGTTCTATCCAGACTAATAAGATAATAATAAAAAACCCAGCTGAAAGACATTAGTTAAATAAAAGTGAGGAACATCATTCTGGAAGTGACATTTTGAAGTGACTTGAATACAACAGTAGGTCTTGCAGGAACGGAAATATGACCAATATGTTAAACAAGAACAGGATCTTATACAGAGAATTTTAGATTATGCATTTCCCCCAAACGCTATAATTAAAAAATGGTAACACTTATTAAGATTTATAATTGTTACATAGACTAAAGCCTATAGGAATTCTGATGAATACTAAATACATTCCATATTAGAGATTAATAGTACTGTAGGTGAATGGTGTTGATTATTTTGGCTCATAATTTGATATGGCTGATAAATGGACAAATAAATGCATCAAAGAGTCTGAGCAGACAGCCTCAGGGCTTATAACCCTTCTGACGCCACACTCTTGCATTAGCTTATGAGCTAAACTGAGCTAACACTACTGTATACAGTATGTCTGCCCCGGGCTGGATATTTTTGCCATGTCTGGACTTCAACAACTTGGCAATTAGCAGCTTGTGCTCAGCCAAAATTGATAGTTTGAGATGTTACCAGTTTTAACACGACAGATTTAGAAAGTGATTTGAGAGTTCACCAGTGCCAAGTAGCTCCACTGGGGGAGTGTTAAGCAGTCATTATCACAGCTGTGGCAGCAAGAACAGAGGCTAAGAACAAGAAAACAAGACATTGATGATTCTATTAAGATGTTTGAAAAGTTTAAATGTTTGAAGTTTACCAGAGAAAAACAAAAACAAGTGTATAGCCTTTGGCTACTAGCGTTTTTCTAAGTTCGAGAACCAGAAGACAACTATTAGGGCACTTTAATTGTAATAAGAATTGGTAATAATTGTATCATGCATTTATTTATTTTAATTATGATTACTACCAGCAACAGTAGTAGTAGTAGCAGGAGTAACACATTAAAGATCTGTTGTTGACTGGCCTATACACATAATACACCTGAGTGTGATGTTGATCAGAATCAAAATTTAATTATTTAAAAAAATTTAAATGAAAGCAACAACTTGTGGAAGTTAGAAGGTTGCTGAAGAAAGTAAACATGTAACAATAATGAACAATAACAAGCCAAAAAATAAATCTTCAGCATCAGCTGTACTCTCCATCAGTGACAATATTATTTTATAACTGTGCAGAATGTGATCTACTGTATGGAACAACAGCAGCAACACCGCATAAAACAAAGAGCTTATTTCCATCAGTATATCATCGATGAATACCAGGCCTAGGACAGGGCGAGCCTACGGCGGCTATAGCAATGGTAAAAAATGGTAGCAATAAATGGTTTTAGTAATAGACAGAAAAAATGTTTTTTTCAAAACACTGCAAAGTTGAATTTCCTCATCACCTGTCTGGGTGTTTAGAATATATTTTATAAGTTCCTGTGGAGCCTAAATGGAATCTGTGGACAAACTTTATTTTGAGCCCAAAATGCACCAACACACAAGTGCAGGCTGGATTCCCTAATCATACGCCAAGCTGTAGATTTTATTAGACACAGGATTCAAAATATGGATGTGTGATAACACATTACATCACACTGTAAAAGAGGAATGTTAAATATCTGCACTGAGACGGACAGCAGACAGCTCGATTTAGCTCATGACCCAACGACAGTAAGTACTTGGGTGGGAAAAGAAATGACAGCCACAGAGCCAGGGCTGCTGGATGAACAAAGACATGAGAAAAAGGAATTCTTAATTTGAATGAAAAGGTTTGAAAAAAGTGGAAAGATTGCAATCAATCAAAGTGGAGAGAGTAGAGAAAATAACAAAGAGGAGGAGGAGATGTGGCGGGCTTCCAAAGTAGGCTATCTGACACTGTGCAACAGCAGACCATCAGGCCAGCTGACCGCTATTTCCAGCCTGAGATGACCCACCAGCTGTACCAACGTAGGTGAGAGAGGGAGAGAGAGTAGGAAATAAATAGACAGAGAGCATGAAGGAAGCCTTGGAGGCTTTATTTATTTATTGCACCTTTATTTGAGCAGAGAGGTCACTCGAGAGAGAGAGTTATTTACACAAGGAGAGTGAGGGTTTCACCAACAGAGGGAGAAGAGGGACGGGGATGATTCCCATCACCTGTCCAAGACCCTGAGTGTGGATCTAATGTCCATCTGTCTGTCTCCATCAGTTGCTATGACTCTGTGGACCATTATAGGTCAGCCAGTATTTACAAGCACTCTAACGGGAGAATAAAAACTGCATGGTCCCTAAACTCATCCTAGCAAGCTGCCAGAAATCACACAGAGGACACTCTTACCCAGGACACTTTTAGCCCTGGGTGGGGCAGGGAGAAGAGCTAGCCCAGAAACAGCCTTAGAATTCAGTTAATCCACTACCTCACCGGTCTGTCACTGATGGACACAAATTATAAACAGCACGGAGAAGGGAGTTTTCCAAAAGCCTTAAACTGCTTGTGTTTAATGTCATCAAGGAACTGGAATTTTAAAAATGTTCAAAAGCAAAACAACAACAAAGTGGTTGCTGGTTTCAATAACTCAGCTCAAACCCAGTTAGTTATAGTGTGTCATCCCATAAAAATATCCATGTTAAAGGCTAAACTCACTTTGCTTTAAACATAATAATGAAAATGGTGATGTAAATACCATTTCAGTGATTCCAAGAAAACACATTTCACTAATTTGTGTATTTTGTCTTATCAAACTTTTGGTTCCATTTAGTCACAGACCAGCTGTTGTAGCCAAGTGAGATACTAGAATTATGTAGTATTATAAAGTGTGCACTGCACCAGTTCTGGTGACCAATAAAGGGGATTATATGATACAGTAAACCTGCTCAATTCGCAGAGCTGAGCCAGGTCATGCAGTTTAGATTAAATGTCATTTTGGAGAATCCACAGAGATGTACTAACTCTCATCATGTGAGATGTACACCAGTAGATTTTAAAGTGAGGTGAGGCCCAGCTTTGTACCTTTACTCCAGCCATCAGTGTGAACTGTTGACAGCTAGGGTTTGGAGAACCCAATCAGACCATTCCATCTAATGACCTACTGCACTACCAATACCAAGACACTTCAAATGATCACAGTGATGTTGGGCTTTGTCATCTGCAGCTTTATTTGGACTGGACATGTTTAGAGAACATATAGTACTTTACTAGTTGATAACCATACATTAATCAATTAGGAAAGGCAACTGTCAATCGATAGACATATCACAGATATTTTCACCAAATCAGTTAAGATTAGCTAATCAATAAGTTGAATACATCTCCTCCTCATACCTGAGGACCAGACAGCTGATGGAATTCAAAGGCTGTACCAGGGCCATGGAAAGGAGGTTACGTTGGAACCATACGATGAAGAAACAAAGATGGTAAAAATAGAGTCTAGAATTTACTGGCTGTTGGTGCTAAACACTGGGTCTGACTACTATCATGTGACCCATTATTTAAATACCTGGATTCTACTAAGACGTAGTTAATAATTGTTATATGGTGACCAAAATGTAAGCAATTGTCCTATATGTGTGGGACAGAAGTCATATTTGCCCTAAATGTTTTTGAGCTGACAGACTTTAATTTATAGAAGCAGCGTGACACTATAAACAGCACGGAGAAGGGAGTTTTTCAAAAGCCTTAAAACTGCTTGTTTGTGGCTCTTGTCCTTAAAAATCAACTTCAATGACGTCACAGCAGTGTAAACAAAGTTATGATAAGGTGGGCTTCAGGAACAGGGGTTTGAAATGGAATACCAACAAAGGAGCTATACCTTAAATGCAGGGCCTTGTATACAGTGGTTATGTCGCTGTTTAGTCTTCCTGTAATAGTAGGGAAGACTACGCACGCACGCGGAAGAACGAACGAACGCGTGTACACACACACACACACACTATTTCCTCTCCTACCTGATCGACACTTGATGATCTCACCAAACTCGTCATCCACAGGTTCGTCGCAGTAGTCCTCCGGACGCACACCTTCCGCCATGGATGTTTCAATTTGATCGGTTTTTAAAAGTTAATAGTTCGGTCGTTGGTTCGGACAATGAAGACGTTAAATCCACCTGTAGGCGAAGTGAAGACCGGTGAGGCAAATCCAGATCAGGAGGAGGAAGAACCGGGCAGAGGAGCAGCAGTGGCTCTGGTCTGTCACACGACAGCGGACGGAAGGCAGCAGGTGTAATTTGTGGGGGGCCAGAGGGTGAGAGGAATGACTGGGTGTCACCCTACTCCCCGCCAGCCCCCAGCATTCCCACCTTTAAATAGCAGCGTTTGGACTTGTCTGCGCGTCGGGATAGCATACCGTTTGGTGGACGCCATGCGTAAAAACCTGACACCCAACAACGACGTTGGTGTGGTCGCTTATTTCCGGACTAAGATGGATGAACCCGCTCCACGAATGCCACGGTGAATCAGCTCACCTTTGACCTCAACACTAGGCGCTGACACTTCATGTGACGTGTGTGGAGCAGTGTACACAAAACTATATTTATGAATCACACTTAATAAATAATGACCGAACCGTACTTTTTTATAGATTAATAGTATATTACAAGTATATTTTTTAAAAATGTCAAACGAAAAAAGGTTATTTTGGGTTTTGTTTTGTTTTTTTAAATAAACGAATATAAATACAAATATTAACCTTAAGGCTGCTAAACAGAAGACATGATTAGTCTGTATTATTTTAGTAGTAAATTAATTTTCCCTCACACAAACATAGTATTGTGTAAGTTAGCCAAAAGTTGCTTGCAGTTAAGAAGACTCAGAAAGACAAACATTAACCCCAAACTGTTGCGTTAGCTAAAGATATTTTTATGGTTACATTAATAAATCTGATTGTTTTACTCTGTTCCTTGAGTTATTTTGTAAATTTAAAAAATGAACAAAAATAAGGAAGCATAGCATAAACTACAAAAAAGGGGAATAATGTACTAGATTTATTTACAGTATAAAACGTTTTTATAGTACCATAGACAGTTACAGTATATTCTGTTCTCCACTTTAGGAAACAGACATCTGTGAAAGTGACAACAACAGCTCTAGAAATAATGTTTAATATACATTTCATAATGAGACATTTATTACAGGAAGATTAAAGTGAAGTGGGAAAAAACCTAACTAGAGACAGAGCTTTTGCTTTTATTTCCAGTGCTTTAATTTTCAAAGGTACAAAGAGATAAACATTTTTACTGACATCTCTATACAGCAACATTGTGAAAATGCCAACACGGACGTACAAACACCATCACACCTACTGTTTTGAATGAACACTTGGCTGTCTGCTATAATTCCAAAACATGGAAACATCTAATTTTTGAACAGCGTTTCTCTCTTTCTACTCTTAATTTACAATTGCCTTATTTTTGTCAGTGAATACGTAGCTAATGTTAGCTAATGCTAATGGATAGTGGTTAGATGACTTATGGTCAGCTTAAGGAGGCCTAACAGTTCTTGGATGGAGCTCAGACATTTGATGGGTTCCAGATAACTTAAGTGATGGTTTGATTCTGGAAGACTGGTGAGACAAAGGTAAAGACTACATGTAAGACACGTGTTGTCCACAGGATGGCACTATGATAATGTAATATCGTTACTCTATGACTCCTGTTTCTGTTGCAGATTTGAAACATTTAACACTAAACAGACTCACCAATGAACGTTTTGAAGATGAGCCTATGACAGTCAGTTACACAGACTACACGGAGTTATAGTGATAAACTTTCTAGGACAGGATATTGTAAAGAAAATAACACAACAACACATATAAACAAACACATATGCCAACAAGAGACTTTTTTTATCAGTCTATAAACCTGATATGTACATGCCCATGAATACTGGTGGGCCAAGTTCAGGCAGTTTTTGGTGCTTACGTTCATGGCTAAACAAACACCAGAATACTAATTGTTTATCATTTCTGGGGTTAAGAACACATTTCACACATATACGGACCCCAAAAGTTAGCCACTTATGCTGCAGTCTATTATTTTTTATCAGGCGGGTTTTTGTAAAACATGTCTTTACTTTGGGTTAAGTTAATCTGCTAATGACAGCTAGCATGAGGTGAAACTAGATTATCATAGCCAAAAACATGTCTTCAGTTTTCAAAAATAATAATAATAATAGTTCAAAATAAATAAATTCTACTTCAGTTGGTCACCATAGTTATTGCCTGTTTGTTTTGTTATTTAAACTTTGAGTATTGTGATGCTATATTAGTCAACTTTCATTTATATTTACCTTACTTTTAGTTTTGCTAATATTAACCTATTGTGCCAATTATGAATGCTTTGGCCTAATTAGACAGCAGCAAAACTACCTGATGATGCCCCAATCATTGTGACTTTGGTTTGTAGTGTACAAGAAAATCTTCCAGACTCTGAACTCCATTACAAATTCCTCAAGAAGCCTCAAGACTCAAATTCTAGTCTTAAATCTCAATTTAAACAGGTTTTAAGAAACTTGCTGGACGTTAACGTCTGTAAACATTAATCAAATTGTGACGCAAAAAAACTGACAATGCCGTGTCTGACTGTTAAGGCCAAAGCTCACTCCAGAAAACACTTAGTATTTCTTGATATGAAATATGTCATGACTGACAACGGCCTAGAAAGTTTAGTGCAAATAGTTGTGGGTCTAATTAACACCATCAAACAGCAAAAACACAGATTAGACAAATGATGTTGAAAATATAACAGCTATGCTACTAATATTATGTAGGACAAAAACAACATTGTTAACTGTAAGTAATTTAAAAGCAAACAACTTAGCCAAACCTTAAAGATATAGATTAAAAAGAGTTACAAAGGAAATACAATTATTTAGAAGATTACATTATTTAAATAATAATAATAATAATTATTATTATTAAATTGCTACAAATTGTTAAGAAATGCTCCCAAATGAGTGAATTTCTTACAAATCTGACTTAGGTACATGGTCTGAAGGGCACTAAAGCAGTGTGTTCATGTGAGTGCACCTTTATTTAGACTAAGGCTTTCCAGCACAAATGACCTCTTCAACTTTTGAAAGCATACAGACAACGCTCTGGATTCTATCAGACATGATCCTGATTAAAGCCTAAGACTGGTCTAAAAATAGCCTACGATTCCAATTCATCTTTTTATAAAGCACATGTAAAAATAACAGAGATGAAGCAAAGTGCTGCACAATAATGAATGTGTAAAAGTTAGGGAGAAAACAAGACAGAGATGACAGGAAAAACAGGGGAAAAAAGCAAAAATGTTAAATCTTTGATGAATTTTTGGAGAGAGGCTTGAAAACATGAAGTAAAGATGCCTGTTTAATATCTGAAGGCGGTTTGTTCCACAGTGTATGAGGTACAACTGAAAAAGCCTGATTTCTCTGAGCTTCAGCCTGGTTTTAGGAGAAGGCAAAAGCAGCAGCAGATCTCAGAGCCTGAGAGAGAGAGAGAGAGAGAGAGAGAGAGAGCGAGTGTACGGCTGAAGCAGGTCACAGAGAAGCGAGGAGTTTCAGACTCCAGGTGGTGATGAGGTCAGCCCTCATCTCACATCCCTGACCGAGGCTAATCCATCACAGCATCAATGATACGCTGTCCCTGTCAGTTACCACAGGCACAGACCTGTGATGATAACAACACTGATGGTGTTGCACTGCTCCCTGCAGGCCATTTCCTCGGTTGATCAGGATCTCGCAGGTAAGTAAGAGAATGCAGGAAAAGGCCAGAAACTACTATTCTAGCATAGTAGAGACTAAAATAAAGTCCAAACAGTTGCGCAAAATACTGCAGAACTAGACTAAAAATAGTTGACCAAACTGTAAGACTACCTTAGATATTGATACAAGAGCAGCGAAAATATCCTATCCAAGTAAATTCCAAAGGGAAAATGTTAACATACTATTAATAAAAATAATAATAAAAACCCAATGGTACTAAAAGTCCTTTGGACTATAAAGCAGATGATGATGATGATGATGATGATGATGATGATGATAGGGATGGCACAATCCGATATTCAGGATCAGTATCCGACATTGGTCAAAATTACAGGATCGAACATCAAATAAAACAACTATGACCCCTCTGATCTGGTACCTTAGCCCAAACGCTCAACTTAGCTTTGTGTGACATGTCGTAAACAAGAACACTATCACCTCAGCAACGGAGAAGAGGAAAAGAAGGTATTGGATTGATATTGGTATGGGCAGATACTCCAAGTTGCAGTATTGATATTGGTATTGAACATGGAAAAGTTGTGTCCATCTAAATGGTGATGATGGTGAAGAAAATGATGATAATTAAAACATGACGATGATGATGATGATGATGATGATGATGATAACACCCAGCACATATTTTATGAATAAGATATTCATAGGTGCAAAAGTTCATCTTGGTGAAATATCTAACAAGGAAGAAAAGGTGTCGGTGCGTAAACTAGAAAGACCCTGCTGACCATCCTTGGTGTCCTCTTCCTCATGATTGAGATGCAGTTCCAGGCTGAAGTCCAGTGTACAGTATTTCCTCAGTAACAGAGTCATTTTGAGTTGGCCCGGCTGCAGACGCCTCTGAAGAGCGGCCCCCTTCAGTCTGAGCTAATAGTAATCTTCGTAGCTCTTGGGGTTGAGGCAGTAGAGAATCCCCCCACCAAATGAGAAGATAGTCCCTCCCCAGGCCAGGCCGTAGCCCCAGTTGAACTCGTGGTAGATGCGAAGGTTGATGCTCTCAATGAACTTGATGGGGTAAAGGACCAAGCTGCACACCTGGAGGACGACTGTGACATGTACACACACACATGCACAGCAAATAGTCAGTTCCTGAATATAACTACAATAAGAGGATAACAAGGTAGATTCAGGGGCGGGGCTTCCATGGTGGCAAAGGCGAGAGGACGGGGTTATAGATTATACTTAATTATAAGTATAATCTTAATCACTTATTAAGTAACACTAAATAAGTAACTAAATAAGTAATAAGTAACTAAATAAGTAACTAAAATAAGTAATAAAAATAAGTAATAAGTAAATAAGTAACTAAGTAATAAGTAACTAAATAAGTAATAAGTAACACTAAATAAGTAACACTAAATAAGTAACACTAAATAAGTTAATAAGTGATTAAGTGTTACTTAATCACTTATTAAGTAACACTTATTAAGTAACTTAATAAGTAGTTACTACTTATTAAGTTACTTAAACACTTAAGTGATTAAGATTAAGTATAATCTTAATCACTGTATAATTAAGATTATACAGTGCTGGCCTAAACACTATCAGAATCAGTGAGATACCAAGTTATATCTATTATATTTGTGGTTTCTACAGACATAATGAAGTTGTTAGGATATGGATGTGTTCAGGCAGATTTTTATGAACTTAGCAACCTTAATATCTAGGTCAATAATCTATTATTAATTTCTATTATTAATGTTTTGGTGGCCTTGTGGGTGTTTTGCATCATACTTCACTGTTTACTTCCAGCTAACTCCATTTCCCTGCTGTTCCACAACAGTACCTAGCACTGCACCATCATTTGAACTACACTGTTCTTGCTTTTTATAAAGTTCTTTAATACGTATTCTAGCCTACATTTCTTTCTAATGTTTAAGGTATTTTTGACTGACTGCATTGATGTTTGTTTGGAGGAGAACGTGACTGTGTGAGTTGGTCTTTGTGTATCTATTATTTGTCATCAATCACATGCACATCAGTTTTCATAGTGATTACCCTGCAGCCTTCCGCTCATCTCATTATAGACTGCCTAATTAAGGAGACTTCCTCCTTCTTATTGTGTCTGTGTGTGTGTATTTGTGTGTGTTCCAGTGATTCACAGTTTGGTAATGAGTCAGTGACCCGCCTTGATTACCTCTGCTCTCGCATCTGTGTGCTCGAGTATGTGCACTGACCTGCAGCGAAGAGCATGAAGGCGACCGGTGTGTAGAACCACCGTCTTGTCCCAATGCCCACGGCAACTAGGGCAACGAGGAATGACATCAGCACCAGTGCTCCGCCCCCTAGCAACAGGGCCAGTGTGACAACCTGCCAGTCTGGGAACAGAGGAGTGTGAGGCAAGAAAAAAAGAAAGGTAAATACAACGACACGAAAAGAACACTGGTAAGATTAAAATAAGTAAACTGAACTTTATAGAGAGGGTTCATGAATAAATGCAGAAAGCATACCAGGGCTGAAAATGAAATGCACAAGATCTTGGTTGGGACCTGAGAGAAAAGACACAGCCGTATGAGACAGGTCTATTAGTTTATCTGACACTTTTTAAATAGATAATTCTCAGTCAGTGGGATGATGGTGAGGGTGGGATGAATACATAATGAAAAGATGGATGGAGAGTATGATTTGCTCCGCCCCACCCTTGAGTCAGCACCTTGTTGTCAATCAACATGTCCTCATCTGGTCCACCAGCTGCAGCTCATCAGCCTGATTTATTTAGACCACTCACAAACTCACCTCAGTGCCAGATTTTGCTTCAGTCAATCATACAGTACATTGTGGTACTGGTTCCCAACCACTGGGCCGTGGCACACTAGTGTACCGTGGGAGATCATTGGGTAAAAAGGTAAATATTAACTACATTCACAAACAAGAGAAAAATGAATGTCAAAAGCAGGTGTTAGTTAAAAAAAATGTTTTTATCATTTTCTACGCCATTGGAAAAACATGGGTATTGCAGTGAAAAGGCAGAAATATAACAATAATATAAACAAATTATACAATTTAGAAATCTTTGGCCTAATTAAAAAGCTGAACGGTCTGCATCCGGCCTTAGTTTGCCCATGCCTGGACTAGAATATGAAATTCCTTTTCAGTTGAGGTAAAAATAAAGAAATCCATGAAAGTGTTGACCTTTAGAAAAAACAAAGAAGCAGGAAAAATAATGGAGGGAGCTGAAGTGAGATAAATTCAGGGTTGGAGTCAACAAGGTGGAGACACAGGTAAAGTGGAGAAAAGGCTGTGGACTCATGTTACACAGACAAAGAGAGGGCAGCATTAAAAGAGATACCAAAAATGTGGAGGGGGTGAGGACGAAAGGACGCTGAATGAAAGTAATGAAGACAGAAAGCACTTAGTACCTCAGCTGGATTAAGAGCTTCACTGGCACAGAGTCAAAAAGCCTACATTTACAACTGTAGCTACACAAACATGCACTTGTTGACTGTGGTTGATATTTGAAGTGTTACTAGTCATTGACTAAACCTACTCTAACCTAACACTGACGACACAGATCTCTTGCAAAACTCTTAATTATCTGTTCTCCCAAATGTCCTCAGAAAATGGACAATGAACAGATGATTAAGAGTTTTGAGAATATTTTTTTAATATTAGCAGAGAGCATTAGAGAGACATATTTGTAGATACAGTCAGAGCATCCCCCTTTATCTCATGGGTAAACTGAGACTTCTCCCAAATGTCCTCAGAAAATGGACAATGAACAGATGATTAAGAGTTTTGAGAATATTTTTTTAATATTAGCAGAGAGCATTAGAGAGACATATTTGTAGATATAGTCAGAGCATCCCCCTTTATCTCATGGGTAAACTGACATTTACTCTGCTAATGTTGGTACAAATGCTAATGAAAGATGGATGGTGGGAAACAGTGGGAGATGAGAGATGAAATGAAAATGGGGGGGGGGGGGTGATCAAATAGAAAATTAAAGATGGGTGGGAAGATAAAATTAAAATCAAATTCACGTTGTATTAATGCAAGTGTCGCAAAAATGTTAGCAGGGTTCGGTCAGCGTCATAAAGGATGAAATATTACATGAAAATCAATATACAGTCCGCACATTATGAATGTGAAAAACATTTTTTTTACCAAGTCCTCACTTCTTTAGCTTTATATTTGAGACATTTTCCTACTACTTCTGGCTAATTTTTATTTCAAGGTACTTAAAGGCACAACATTCATTCATGTCAAGGCTACTTTAACTGCTAGCTTAGCCAGCATTTGGCTAATCTCACATAGCAATCCTCAGTTCTAAATGTCTTTGCAGCAAGACCACGGGCAATATTTTGACTAGGACAACAAGGCCTGTAACCAGTAAACAGATAAACAACAACAAAAATAAACAATGAAAACCAATACAGAGTGAGTCAAATTCTAAAACAAAGCTAAAAGATAACCAACACACGGTGAAACCTATGGAAAAAGAAACTGAAACTACAAAACAATATTATAAAATGCATAAATAAATATGACTAGAGAATTTAAAATAGTATCAGAGAAAATGACTTCCATGTCAGCCTGATCGTTTCAGGGCTGCAGCATCGGCGTTTACGTCCAAATTCATGGAAGTGTTTGTTAAAAGTGTAAAATTAAAAGCAGTGTAAAGGGTTATGAACAGCAGCTGGATGATGTGGGAACAGCGTTAAAGGTTTGCTCCCATGACAGTCCCTGTCCGTCTGTCTGCCTCTTCACTCCCTTCATTCCCCCCTGTTATAAATACTGCAGGTCGTGTGTCTAAGGAGATTTCACAGAGAGGCGTGAGGAGGAAGACAGAAAGAGGTTTGACCCGTGAAAAAAGAAAAGAAAAATGGATTTGGAGAGGACTGAGGAGGAGACAGAGGAGGAGGAGAAGAAGCAAGAAGAGGAGGAGGACAGGGAGAAGGTGGAGAAAGAAGAGGAGAAGTGCTAAAATGATTTACATTAACAATGTAGCCATAATGGCCTCAGCAGGAGGAGGAAGTGAAAGTGGGCGACAGAAAGGAGGAAAACAATAATGAATTAATAAACGACCAAGTCCTCACTTCTTTAGCTTTATAAAACAAAACTAATATATATAACTAATATAATACAAAAGAAGGAATGTAGAACTAATGACAAGAGGACAGGGAAATGATAGAAAAGAGCCAGAGCTGGAGAATCCAGCCAATCGACAGCCTAAAACCCATCTGCTCTGAAGGTCAGGCCAATGACAAAGCTGTTAGCAGAGGAAAAGACACAACGAGGAGGAAGAGTGTCAGACACAGGGAGGAATGGAATAAGAACAGGCTCTCCCAGAAAGACGAGGACAGAGGTAGAACATACAGAGGAACAGGATCCAGGTCCACCCTCTGAATGTGGACCAGGTACCAGGTGTGGTCCATGGAGAGCCTTTTGTAGGCTGAGATTTATTTTATTAGTTTTTTTGGATATAGAATTTGAGAATAAAAAAATATTTAAATTACATGTTCCCATCATTCCTAAAATGTAACCTTTTCAATAATAATAGTTAGATAGACAGATAGACAGACAGACAGATAGACAGACAGATAGACAGACAGATAGAGAGACAGATAGACAGACAGACAGACAGATAGACACACAGACAGACAGATAGATAGACAGACACACAGACACACAAACACACAAACAGACAGATATACAGACAGATAGACAGACAGATAGACAGATAGACAGACAGACAGACAGATAGACAGATAGACAGACAGATAGACACACAGACAGACAGATAGATAGACAGACAGACAGACAGACAGAAAGATAGACAGACAGACAGACAGACAGAGAGACAGACCGACAGATAGACAGACAGAAGTCTCCTGAGACCAGGTGGAGACATGCAACAACAGAGAAATCCAAATGTAACATGAAATATTAAGTTTTTTTCAGTGGAGCTTGTCCAGAAATAGGTCTCTTCAGTAAGTCAGCCTCTCACTGATACACACACATACACACACTCACACACAAAGTACCATACTGCTCCATTTTGTCCCAGTTAGAAAGAAGCTACTGCACCTATATAATACTGTAGCTACACAGATAGAGAGTCGGACAATGTGATATTCTGCCAGAATGAATTTTGGATATAGAATTTGAGAATAAAAAAATATTTAAATTACATGTTCCCATCATTCCTAAAATGTAACCTTTTCAATAATAATAGTCAGATAGACAGACAGACAGACAGACAGACAGAAAGATAGACAGACAGACAGACAGACAGAGAGACAGACCGACAGATAGACAGACAGAAGTCTCCTGAGACCAGGTGGAGACATGCAACAACAGAGAAATCCAAATGTAACATGAAATATTAAGTTTTTTTCAGTGGAGCTTGTCCAGAAATAGGTCTCTTCAGTAAGTCAGCCTCTCACTGATACACACACATACACACACTCACACACAAAGTACCATACTGCTCCATTTTGTCCCAGTTAGAAAGAAGCTACTGCACCTATATAATACTGTAGCTACACAGATAGAGAGTCAGACAATGTGATATTCTGCCAGAATGCAGGAACTGAACTGTGTGCACTGAAGGATGAGTTAGCAAGACTTTGTAAAACTAACAAACCATACAATCAACCTTTTATAGAACACTGGTCGCTGGTGTGTTTACTTTGTGTCTTTTCCTCTCTTTTGCCAGTAGTTGGGACATTATGGATGGAAATGGTTCACTTAATTCTGCCCATTCTTCCAGAAGTAGCCTGACGTCCACCATTGTTGTTATTGTGTGGTGTTGAGCAGGGCTGACTGGGCCAAACCGTTACAGGGGCGGGGCTGACAGCATCATCTCACCCTGTTCTGGACACAGAACCAGAGTTCTTAAACTATACTAGCGCGCTTTAGCTTGGTTTAGCATGCGGACCAAAGGGGGACAGGGGAGGGGGGTGACTGAGTGAGTGTGCCCTAAAAGAGAGACAACTAACTGTTAGCTACAGGAATGGAAATGTTAGCTTTAAGTTAAAAAGTTAATCATAAACATTTGGGATGAAAATCAATTATGAGCCTTCTGCATGTGTGGTTTCTGAATGATGTAACATCTCACATGTTCACAAATAAATGGTAGTTTAAATTCTTCAGAGAATATAAACATAAAATAAACACTACAAGTTCAAAATTAATTTAAATTTAAAGCAAAAAAGTGTCCAAAAATGATTACTTCTCTTAGCCTTAAATAAATATAGAGAAAACAATATATACAATATATAGTATACAGTAATATATATAGCTAATTATCAATGCTCTAACACAACAGCCAGTGATCAACATAACGAGCTTAGAGATAACAAAACTTTTGATAAATAAAATCAAGATAAAATGTGCTGATCCACACAGTTGTTAGGTGTGAGTCACAGCTGTCAATGTCAGACATGAAGAAGAACTTATCATGACTTTGTGTGGTAACTGAGGCTGTCAATGTGTCAGTGAGATGGATGGATGGGTGAAAAGTTAATGTTAACTTTCCTTAGGCCACTGTGTGTGTGTGTGTGTGTGTGTTGTGATAGATGGATGGATGGTTGATGGATGGATGGGTGGATGGGTGGATGGATAGATGGGTGGATGGGTGGATAGATGGATGGATGGATGGATGGTGACACGCCCCTCTTCTCTCCTCTCCTCCCTCCCTGGTACCTGAGGGCAGCGTGCTGCTGCACTGCCACTGGTCGTTCCTCGTCGGTTTCCAGCAGGACTCCCACAGGGATAAATAGTACTGGTCGTCGGCCGTAACCCAGGCAGGACTCATCACGGCGCCCACGTCCAGACACAGCGCCAGAAACACGCACACGAGCCCCACCAGCTTGAGCGGCGTAAGCGGCGAGCCAGGCGCATCCTCCCCGGTCTCGGTGACAGCGGAGGACATACTGGTCGTGGAGGAATTGGAACCTGGACCTGTGTGTGTGTGTGTTGTGGGCGAGCCTTCTTCACGGTGTCTGCATGTGCGCGGAGGTCCGGAGTGAGCTGCAGACGTCTGCGCCGGCGGCTGCTGCACTCACGTTCCGCTTTTCATCACCGTTGCCGCCCGGCGCAGCACATCCCTGCGTTTACAGTACTGACGTCAAAGGCTCCCAGGGCTCTGCAGGTGCAACAGGGTCCTAGACAAACCACAGGGAAGGAGGGGGGAGGAATGAAAGAAGGGTGGGACGGAGGAAGAAATGGAGAGAAAAGTGTTCAGCAGATCCTGGGTCCTGTAAAGGTCAGGAAGTAAAGAAGGGAGTAGTGAAGAGGTCTCAGACACAACGAACAGAAGTAAAAAAAAACAGATTCAGAAGATGGAGCGTGTAAGAGACAAGTCAAAGGAAAGAAGGAAGAAAGAGGAGGGGGCTGTTTAGGAATATTTCTGACCTGCTCAACTACTTTCTTTTTTATCTTCATTTCTTTCTGCCTGTCCTTTCCTTCCCCTCTTATTTCCTCCCTCAGTTTTACACAGGTAATGAATAAAGCCGGACGTCAGCAGTTAATCCTGATACATTGACTTGAGGTTTTTTTCCTTGAAATCCTTGTAACACGAGCAGCTGCCGAGCTCATCTCCAGGACCGTCACATACACAGCCATGGAAATTTCCTCTCTGGGCTGACGAGGTGCCAAGTGCAGGAACAGCACAGATAATGGAGAAGCCTATTCCCCCCCCCCCCCTCACCCCCCATCATTGCCTGCTGAAGGAGTCATTAGCTGTTGAATGTATTGATTGTAGCAGAGCAGACCTCATTAATGGATGCACGAACAGACATACTGATGAATTTCTCTCCTTGTAAATGTGGAAGAGGATCCATGAAAGTGAGAGGTACAAAGAACAGGCCTCACCTGACATTCGACACAGTCATCCCTGAATAAACAGGCCTCACACAGGGTAAAACACACAACTGTGATCAGTCTACAGTCCCTCACAATCACTTTGTCAGCTTGTCAGTCGTACGACACATCTGACCAGAGGATGACGCCTCCAGTAGGTGACATGAAGCTACTGCAGTGCTCATAATAACGACAATATCGACTGCATTAACACAATTAGTGAATGGAGGGTGGACTAACTGGATAACCAGTGTGAATCATTCTGCCCCTGTGATAAAATTAGGGATGTCCGATAATATCAGCTGACCAATATTAGCATATAATGCAATATCTGTAGGAATCGTTATCATAATACCGCAATGCCTGGGTTTCGCCAAATGATGTGTGCCCTAAAAATAGTTTTGGGGATAAACGGTTGTATATTAAAATGAAAGTCACTAGATGGCAGCATTGCAGCTCATTTAATTAATCGAATACTACAGTGGTTTGTAAAGATAAATAAATAAATATTACCAGGCTTATATCGGTATTGGTTGATATGGGAAATGGAAATTGGGGTTGGGAAATAGCGGCATATTGGATATCGTCAAAAAGTTAATATCAGACATCCTTAGTTAAAATTTTAATCAGATTTATCCCGAGAAATTGATTAACGTGATTAACCAGTTATTTCAGCTGCCCTAATTTTGGGATGATTTGTAATATTTTTTTCCACTCTGTTACATCTAAGTTGTTTCTTAGTTATTTATTTTCTTAAAATTCCTTTTTTGTAATTATTTTATTTTTTACTTTATTTGTTTTTGTTTGTAAATGGGGTGTGTACAGAAAGTTGAAATACAGTAGTAGAATACGTGCAAAACGCCATCTACTGAGGTCACTGAAGGAGACGACAATAAATTAAATTGTCTTCACACTGGTAGGGTTTTCTTTAACATATTTTTGTCAGCCTCAGAGCCTTTTACATTTCATTCACATTCACCTAAGGATAAATTAAATACATTTGATTTCTGTATTTTTCATGCTTTCAGACATTTGACTGAGAACAATGTCCTAACATTTACAGACAAATCCTCTTCTTTATAATAGACTGCTATATTTCCAATCTTACTTAACATACAGAACTTAGAGTGTGGTCGAGCACCAGTTGGATCCACCTCCTGTGTGTAGATACCGTGGTTGTTGTTTTGGGTTAAAGCCATGTCCATAGTCCCAGATGATCACTGTGATGACTGGACCGACTGCTTCATCTGACACACACACACACAGACATTTGAAAATGAAAGTTAATGTTTCCTGGTACAAATATAAGTTTGTCACATTGTCATACAGTATGATTGTGCTAAACATTTAGTTTTAATCCACTTCTTGCCCAAGTTTCACGATTCAGTGTCTGTTTCACAGTTTTTGCTTCATATAAGTTGGAAACGGTGATTTGTCAACTAACAACCAACTCCTCCAGGAAGATGAGCTACATGGAGTGACCACTGATACAAGGATATGGCAGCCATAGTAGTGGACGGCTAAAAATACCACTGACTGTAAATACTTTAAACCCATCTATGCCTCAAGGTATAGTTTAAAATTAGTTCTCCCTAAAACAATTTTTGGAGAAAAAAACGAATGAAAACACTTCAATAAATGTATTTGTTCAAGAAGTCCAACCTGTTTCTTTGTTTTGACCTTGAATTAGATTTAGATTTACAATTATTTTATTTTATTTCAAAATATTGCAGCTAGTTTGTCCTGGTGCCTTGTCCTCTCATGTATACCCTTATTTATTTGCTTTATTTAAACCCATATTTTTCTTACTTCAGTAGACTTGAGGCAGACATGATATCTGCTACACTATGGAACCACAACTCATTAAACTGCAAAGTCATATAAAAACAGGGTATTTTGTCCAAATGTCTTATTGGCTCCACCAATACTACTTTACTTTACTGTACTTTATATTACATTACATTACAATACATTTAGCTTTTATCCAAAGCGATTAACAATTTGAGTTAGTCAATCAACAATCAAGCATACAACAACATATAAAACAACATAACATAACAAACATAAATAATAAATAGTAATAAATAATTATCCATCCATCCAACCATTTTCATCCGCTTATCCGTTACCGGGTCGCGGGGACAGCAGTCGCCACCCAAATCACATTGCACCGTATCAACCCCCCAAACCTTCCTGTGGGTGGTGAGTCCACTGGAAGGTACCAACCGCCCTAACCTGGATTTGAACTTGCCCAGGAGGTGAACCCTGGGGTTCCACACCAATGACAGAGACATTGCCTCTATAAATAATTATATATATTTTTATTCTTTACTATGGATGGCTTCATACGAGATCCAATACTCAGGATTGGTCCGATACTGGTAAAAATGTCAGTATTGAACATGAATAAAAAATGAAAACAACTATAGGCCGCCTGATCTGATATCTAAACCCAAATGCTCAATCTAACTCTGCATGACATGCAGCAAACTGATTGAACGGACTGAATTCAGTACCTCCAAGTTGCAGTATCGGTATTAGCTTTAGCTTTACAGACCTGTGAAGTGATATGTGCCTCCAACATGAAGAGCCTGGTGTCACTTGAAGACTTCAGGACCACCTGACATGGAAACTGTCCAACACGGTCAGCTTGGAACCAGATTGGGATTTCTACACTTTCACAATCTGTGAAAAAACATCAAGGACAATAAGGCAGACCTGGACAATAACAGTAGAGGATTGAATTAATATATACATCCAACATATTATAGGGTTTACCTGAAGGATTTTCCCATGGTACATTTGTCTCCTCCGTTACAGGAATTTCAACAGTACTGGGTAATCTGAAGTACTGTGGCATAGTAACACGAATGTTATAGGTTATTACTTTGTAGTCTTCTGTAATTTCTCTTGTTCGCTGGGCCTGAAACCAAACAAGGGGTAAACCAAAATTATGTTCAACCATCATAAGGTTTATTTTTATCTTCAAACATTGCATAAACTTGGAACCAGGGATGTAACGATGGCTCCTGAATCTGTTAAAAATCAATATAAATGTGCGACAATTTGCATCGGTTGAAATAAAAAAAACGAATCGTGCATCACAAGCAGCACACCGATAAAAGGGGTAACGATGGCTCCTGAATCTGTTAAAAATCAATATAAATGTGCGACAATTTGCATCGGTTGAAATAAAAAAAACGACTCGTGCATCAAGGTGTAAGGAGTAAGCTGTGTTCACTGGTCATACCATGAGACTCCATACGCTAATACAGCAGGTGGCGATATGCGTTTAAAAATGTGTAAAAAAGTGAGTTAAAAACTGCCAATAAACCAGGACGTCAGGTCCCTCCGTATGTAGTCTTCTGTAATTTCTCTTGTTCGCTGGGCCTGAAACCAAACAAGGGGTAAACCAAAATTATGTTCAACCATCATAAGGTTTATTTTTATCTGCAAACATTGCATAAACTTGGAACCAGGGATGTAACGATGGCTCCTGAATCTGTTAAAAATCAATATAAATGTGCGACAATTTGCATCGGTTGAAATAAAAAAAACGAATCGTGCATCACAAGCAGCACACCGATAAAAGGGCTGAGAGGGAATGAATGATAACAACAGAATACTCTGTATTATTTGATAAATATTTATGACAAATATATTGAAAAATAAGTCATTAGTTCTGATACTAGTTACACCAATAGAGAAGGCCTTGCTGGCCTCGTGTACGCCACTGAATGTTTGTTTTGTACCAAAAGACCATATGTTCCCGTTGCAAATGCTTCTGGGTATTTTAAAGTTCACCCTGTGATGGCTAAGGCAAAAACCCATCTCCTTGTGTTTACCCACCTCTCGTTTAAAAAGCTTGCTGACCGTGCTCGCTCTCACACTGCTGCTATACAACGTTTGTGTCAGCAGCCTCCTCCTTTGCTCCTCGACGCTCATGCTCAGCTGACCCCAGATGGCCAGGGCACGCTCCCAGGCCATATTGACCAGCGGCACACACAAAAGCCCCTCCCACACCTGATCCACCAGGCAACAGAAGCCTACAACTGATACAAACAGACATAATTAACAGCAGAGAAAATCTTTAGACATATGATCATATTTATCAACTTTGATTAAATACACAAATAAAACTAGTTTCTGGATGTAATAGATGCAGCAGACTGAAGTCAGGCTGTTTTCTGATTAAAGTGTTGGGGCTTTGTTTCCTAGTCTAAATCTGAGCATAAATAATTAACTGAAAATGATGCTGTTATTTTTGTCAGCGGCAGAGCTTGGAGCTAATTTTATGGCATTTCTAGCACTACAATATTTTATGTCCTTTACTTTTCATCAGTAATAACATGTGAAAACAACATTTTGCCAATTATTGTAAAATATGAGCAAAGTGGTGCCCCCAACAGGTAGCCACCCAGGATCATAGTGAAAAGAAATTGCTTAATAAAAGGAGACAAGGGCATAATATTAACATTAATTATTCATGTTAAAGTGTATTTTCAAATGTTAGTGAAACATGAAAATGATTCAAAATTCAGGGTTTTATGACTTAATTTAATTCTTAATGATTTAACCCAGTACATTTTGCTATGCTGCCATTGTAAAATTAAGCACTAACAAAAACTTGAGAAACCCTGTTAGCATTGAGATGAAATGGATCAAAACATTTGTCAACAAAAAGTATGAGAATATCCTAGAAATTCCTTATTAAGAAACACAAACGAGACAAACTGCTTGCCAATATCCAGAAGACAAAGATATTTTCTGAAAAATGTTCCTACCAGAGCTGTTGGGAATGGAAACAATGTCAGAACTGGGTTTGAACTTGACAGGAGATGGAAGTGGAAAGCACGCTGAGGTCTTCACCATATGGACCATGTCACCCACCTGATAGGCCACACACACCAACACACGCACATTAGTCATTACTCATCATTATTTAATTAATTAATTAAATAAGCATGATGTCAACTTTATTATATATCTGAGGGAAAACACGTCAACAGATCCATAGAAAACCCTCGGAGGGAAAACAAAAAGGTAATGGGAGAAGATATACCACGTGTACATATTTTGGTGACAGTAAAATGGAAAATCATCAACTTCACCGAACCTAAAACACATTTCTCTCGCACAGAATATTGTATTCTGTACACAAAATACTGCAAGTTCAGCAGTTTTACAGGAGAATTCATTCTGAGAGATCCTCTGTGGTAAAAAAAACGAAGAGAAAGCTAAAAACCCAGGAAACAGAGGCTCACTGACCTGCGGGCAAACCAGCAGGACTGAGCAGTATTTGACGCCAGTGGAGAAGGGCAGGTAATGGATGTTCAGGATGAACGTCTGTCTTGGTTTCAGACTCACTGTTCTCACTGCACTAAAGAACTCTTTACCTCCAACATCTAAGGAAACAAACAAATGTATTGTAACTTGAAACCATCGAGTGTCAAACACCGTAGAGACCCCAAATGTAGCTGAACACAGTGATCCTGTTACAAAAATGAACCTTGTAGTTTTGAATGACAAAATGATCATTTGAGGATCCCCCAGACCCCCCTGGTTCAGTCTGCTCCTGCTCCTAAATCTAAAGTACAGGGGGTCCTCTGCTTACGTCCAAGTTCAGTTTCTAGTGTGGTCAATTTAGTGTCTCACATACTGTACATCAGTACCTATGTCACTCACCTACGCTAACACAGTAGTAACATCATCATCTAGGACATTGACACAATCCAGTCTTCTGCGTATAGCACCGCATGATGACATACTCGTCCATTAATCCCATACGTTGAAATGATGGAACAAGACTTTCCTATTAAACCTATGGGAGATGGCGACGTAACCACAAAAGGCTGTAAGTCAAGCACGTCGTAAACTGAGGACCTCCTGGATATATTCTTCAGTTTCAAGTTTTCACTCATTCACATTCTCATACGAGTGAGAACTTGAAACTGAAGTCCCACACGAGCATGGCCTTTGAAATGATTTTACTTACTCTGAGCTGAATTCCGTCCCTCGGTGACTTCCCCACAGCTGTCTGTTACCACTTTCTCTGGCCTGAAACAAAGAACATTTTCATATTTACCTTATTCACAAAAGGAAACTGGTTCAGTCTGGTTCAGATGTGGAGAAGACACTTGATTGTTTGAACAAACCACAGTTCAAGACAACTGGACAATTGACTTAATGAAATAGGAGGTTTAAAAGTTTGGTTGCCATTCAATGGAAGTGGAACATTAACTGAGAGTTTCCCTACTTAATACAAGTTTGAGTTTGCATTCAGAAATGTGGTCAATAAAATGCAGAGACAAAGAGTTTAATATGTATGTGGTGTTACTTTGATCTGAAAGAGGTCCGCTGAATGATGTGTTTCTTTTCAGGCTCCAGTGGGTTATATGTGGATTCCACCAGCACCACCCTTAACACAGCAGAGATTGTTTTTATTAATGGCATTCAAAACAAAACAGTGAATAATGCATTTTATTGTCAGACTGCCAAAAAGCATCAGAGGCCTTTTCAAAAATGTAAGCTTTTTTGGTTCAGAAGTAATTTATCGACCTTTTCAACCCAATAGAATGCCATCTCCACCTAAAGGGAAATTCAGATGGAAATTCAAATATATTCCTGACATTAACCAGTGCAATAGTGCATTTTTATTCAGATTGACAGACCTTGTAGACATGATAAAAGAATGACGGCACACAGAGGAAGAATGCATTTTTGGTTCCCTGCAGGTGGATAATTTAAGTTTGGCTTTTTATTTTATTTCATTTTTTTAATGCAATCTTGGCTTTTTATTTTATTTCATTTTTTTTAATGTAATCTTCAGCATCTTATTTTCAGACTTTAAAATGGTCAAAATGTTTTTGTTGTATACAGAAAAAAATTGTAGTTTGAAGTGGAGAACAATTGTGAGTTGGCTGACACACTTGAATAAACACACGAGAACAATTGTGAGTTGGCTGACACACCTGCTAATAAAGGCTAAACTGACTGGATAGAGGTTTTTAGATAAACACCTACCTGAACTTAGCTTCCTTACTGAAAGGATTAGCGATGGATAGCTGGATGACTCTTAGCTCATAGCATGGAGACATGTGTTTAACTGTGCTCTGCAGAAACACAAGAGGAAACAGTATTAACCACCCTGACAATGAAATGGATGCATTAAATGTGTTTCTGTACTCCATGTCTCTCATGTACCCTTGTGGTGTGGGTAAAGGGGATGTGGGGGGCAGTTAGTGGTTCTGCCATGGTCTGTGGTACTCACTGTGGGTGTGATGTGACTGACATTAGCTTTCAGACTAAAAGCCAGAGTGGTGGCAAGTTCACCAAAAGCAGGACTGGAGATGAGCAGCAAGACTGCCTCCATGGGCTGCATGAAGAAGCAGCGATACCGAATGGTCAGTTCAGCGCCTGTCCTGTAATGAAACAACATACAGCAACAAGCTAGCTGATAGCTGGTGGCCAACTCCCCACAGTAAAATCTTGTAAAACTCATACTGTACAGTATCTTATACTGTATTTTTTGACTGGTCAGACAGACATAGCAGCATTATTACAGATGCTAACTGTCACTCACATTTGAGCAAATGTTTACATTTGCACACGCTGCAGGAGCCCCGTCTCTGGTAACAGTATCACCCTGAATGATTGACAAGTTCTCACTTACTTTGGAAGAACGGAGACAGCGGATCCATCAGTGAGGGAGAAAAGATAAGCATTCTCTCCTAAAAGGAACGTCTGGTATCTCTTTGGATGAGAGGAGGGAGTTCTCAGTCGAACCTGCAGGTGTCACAACAGACAGACAGGGAAGGAAAGATACAATAAGACATAGACAGGCAGACAGACAGACAAAAACATCAGGTTTATTACCAGGAAACAACCATTATCAGTCATCAAGAAATGTTTATTTGCTCCTGAAAATATGAAGCTTTAGCCACATTTGTGTTTCTTATTCAATTACTTTGATTCCCTTGTACAATATTTGTATATATTTGTGCTTGCACTGCTAAATTGTTTTGTGAGTGTTTGTGTTACCTTCTTGCTGAATGTGCTGTGCAGGCTTCCTGTCAGTGTGATGGTTTGCATTGGCAGGTACTGAGGCAGCTTCTCATACAGGTGAACACACAGCATTAATATCTGCACTGGATTAGGATCAGACAGATCTGTGGGCTGGGAACACACACACACACACATGTGCAGTCTGACAAAGCCATGATGATTTATAATATACAGTAGCTAATCATAATCATCTAACTGCACTGAATTATAAGATCAGTAACTGGTAATTGTCTGTCAAAGCTTTTAGACGGATTCTATGTAGATGTTAATTATTAAAGAGCACATGTCGTGAAGGTAATTCATCACATAGGTTAAATATTCATGGACATCATAGTCCACGTACCTGGACGTGGACTGTGATAAATTCAGTCAAGTGACGCAGGAATTCTAGAATCACGGAACAGTTTCTACTTCATAGAATGAAACCAGATTAGACCAGGCTTATCTCCACCTGTCATCCCTGTGTTTACCTGTATATCAATGTTGAGGGAAAGTGCAGTTAAGCACTGGACCACTATGATGTTGTTGTGGAGAATCTGCTCCAGAGTGTTGGGTGTGGTGTACATCCTCTTAAAGTGGCTGGAGATCTGGGTAGAAACACAGATGCTTACTAACTTACATTCAGTCCATATCCATATCTATCTACCTGTACAGAGTATGTGACATGAACTGGTCCACTTAATGTTATGAAAATAGATTACAACCTCCTGACGTAACCCACCAGGTACGGACAGTAGGCTGCAAGCAGCGCAGCGAGCACAAGTCCATCAGAGAAGTCCAGGTCAAAATTCACTATCCATCGTGCCATGGGAGTGGAACCTGTCAACAAATCAATTATTTGAATGTTTTTATTGAATTTGTTGAATTATAACATTCAGGATAAAAAGTTTAGGAAAATAACAATAATATAAAAATCCTCAGATGTTAATTACTTATCATAATAACCAGGAAGTCTCTCAAAATACAATATAAATGGCTGTCAAAGATTTGTTTTATTTTTTTACATTATTACAATGTATATTAGGTAAAAATATATTATAATAGTTATATAAATAAGATTAATAAATGGCTGTCAAAGATTTGTTTTATGGTATTATAATAGTTATATAAATAAGATTCAAAATACAGGTAACAATATTTACTGAAACACTGGCATAAAAGCATAATTGAGAATTCATAAACATAGTTGTGAAAATGTTCACAAAGCTGATGAATACATCGTCACACAATCTTGAAAAAAAAGGCTGACTTGTGTAAATGTATGTGGCGTCTGTGACCTACCTGCTCCACAAAAGGTTTGTCTCATGCTCTGGTAGTGTTCGTTGAGCCATGAGAGCAGCAGCAGCTCATTGGGTGAATAGACATTACTGGCCACGGACTTTGAGTTGATGGAGAGGACGCCATCTCCCTGGTTAGGAACTGTGCTCTGACCACTCTTGGACACACGCCGAAGCACTGACACCTATTTGTACGTTTGCATGAGAATATTTAATATCAATAATAGCATCAATAACAGTAACAGTTTACTGAGAAAAGTGTCATAAAAGTCTAAATTTAGAGCACACGTTTTTCATCATTGGAGAATGTGAGGAATGCAAACAGTTTATATCAATACAAGGTAGAACAACAAATGTCACGAATTTGGTTATATTAATTACAAATCTGTGTCTGAAAAGACAAAGGAAAAGAAAAAAATTCTTACTTTATAAATTTGCAGCAGCACGTCAGTCCAGGAGCGTTTGCTCAAAGACTCGTACCCTACATTACCGTAGGACAGACCATTGTCGTCTTTTTTTGACTGAGGGATAAAGAGACACACATGGTGCACAGAGCCGTAAATGTATTATGAGTTTGAAGGATAGCATTAAAATAATTAGAGAAAAAAGCATTTGCATTTAATATCAGGAAGTCGTACCTTTAGGCGACAACAGTGTTTGAACTCCTGTGCATCCAGCAAGTACTCAGGTCTGATGTGCTTCACACAGGCTCCCTTCCCCCTACACACAACAGTTCATAGGTCATTCAAGTCCCTTCCCTTCAAATAAGCTTCACTGTAAATGTAGTAATATTGACTACTGCAGTTACAGAAAGTGGACAAATACCTGAGAAAAGCTAGGACAGCCTCGTGCTGCTGCAGCACCTGATCAATACGTTGCTGTTTATCATTAGAAATAACTTCACAGTAAGGAATTCCTGGAATCTTTTCACCTATCAGGTGCTGTAGCATGTCCAGAACAGACCTAAAGAAAAGGACGTTTAGAGAGAACATCAGAGCAGATAGAGCTACATTCACGAAAAGCATCGTTATTGATCACTGTCCTGAAGTATTACTGGGATAATGGATGGATGATAGATAGACAGACGGACAGATAGATAAATAGGAAAGTGAAATAGGAAAGTGAACTCCTTGTCATTGTGACACAGCACACCACTGCACACAACCAAATGTGACCTCTGTTTTTAACCCATCATCACTGCCCCTAGCAGATATATGGATGGATGATAGATAGATGGATGTTAGATGGATGGACAGATGGATGGATAGATAGATAGTGTTGCTGATGTCCATTTCAATTTTTATTTTATTTTGTTTCAACTGGAAACTCAAAGGAAAAGCAGCAAAAATTCACGGGTGTTCTCACCTGCAGTCTTTATTTTGGGTGACACGGTAAGTCCGACCTCTGGTCTCCTGGGTTTGTGCTTTCAACACAATTCTACAAAAAGAGAGAGTGAACTGACAAAGTTTGTAACAAGGCAAACCAAACAGAGCCACAAAGCTAAATGATGAGCAGCTGATTCGAACCTCCTGAGTGTGTGTGGTACAGAGATGGGATGTGGTCCATTTGGCCAACCAAAGAGACTAAACCACCTTTCCACAGCTAACAGCACAGTCTGGTAATAAAGTCCTTCTTCTGAATCAGCTGCAGGAAATTCCGGCACGCTGAAGTTGAGTGGAGTGCGTTCAGTTGAAGAGACTTCTTCATCTCTGCTGTTTTGACCACTTAAACTGCCACTTTCTGGAAAAGACCCTGATGAGAAACATACACACTGTTGGCAAACATACATCAACTGACTAAAAGGTAGTGTAGACGTTCATCTGTTCATCTTTGAGCTATAATCGACCTATGTTGGGTTTTTTTCACAACTTCTGTGCTAACTATTCTGTTTGCTCATTCCAGTTATTTTTGCTGAGTCTGGTTACTGTAGGTTTGCTCATTCCAGTTATTTTTGCTGAAATGTAACTGTCAGCTACAGTAACCAGACTCAACCAAAAATCATCTTTGCCAAACCTCAATAGTCTTCAATCCTTGACTCTGCATCCAACAATATCTTCAATCATAACCTCACAAAACATTCAGGCTCTGCATTTTCTCCACAATAAAATATTAAAAGGTTCAGCACCTGAAGCTGAGGTCTTGTTTGTTCCACTTTCGTGATCAAATGAGGATAAAGATGAAGCCAAACCAGAGAGAGGACTTGGTGTGTGACAACGCTGAAGGACCGCCTCCACTACTGTGGCTCCTGAAGGACAGTCAAAGAAAAGTGAACATGAAGAAGAAATTTGATAATTTGATCTTGAATCTTACATTCAATTACCATGGTTCAAACATTCACATAATAATAGGCATTGCAAGAGCAAGGAAGAGCTGTGGGAAAGAGGCAGTCCAGGTGTAAAGGATGGAGAGGTGTGTCAGTGATGATATATGACAAACAAGGATAGCAGCAGCTTTGGAAAAAAATGGTTTAAAATCAATACAAATGTGTGACAATTTGCATCGGTTACACAACACCATTTCAGTTGGTAATGGTATTTTGCATAGTTCTTACAAATAAAAGAACATTGTCTTGAGCTCATTTTTGTTTCAAAATCTTGATAAAATGAGAAAGAAATTAATCATTTTGTAAAGAATATATTGTCACATTCCTAATGATGATGACCCATTGTTGTTATAAATGTAACATATTACTGCCAATACTGTACCTGTCTTGAGAACTATCTGTTGCTCAGTCCGGTTTCGGGCCATGTAGGGCCAGACTGTCAAAAGACAATTGTCAGTTGTAGCACATGTCGTAACTTGAAACCTGTAGGATAAGAGTGTGAGGGGTTTTATTATTAAGATTAAAAAAATAAACTTTATTCAGTGTTGTCTGAATAACACAGCAGATAATCACGACTTCCTTTACCTCTCATTAAAGTACTGTTCAGTGAATGTGATAGCAGTGCAGAGCGACACAGGAAGAGCTGAGCAGAAGGACACGTTGCAGGTCAAACTAGTCACAGTGGCTTCCTGGTGTTGAAGACTCAGTGAATGCCTCTATAAAAAAAGTTAAATAATCAGGAAAGAAAATGCTTTAAAACTGCGAGAGGCAACACACAGAGACAGAGTTCACCTCAGATATAATGGTTCATTGGTTTGCCAAAACACAACATAAAAAATCAATTTTCATTGCCCTCTAACGGTTAGAGAAATATTTTTTTAACCTAAGACTTTGCTTGTGAAATATCGTAACTCTACCAAAACAATGTTGTTCATTTTAGCTGTTTTAAGGTTCACTTATAGTAATTCATTTAGCTAAATCTAATTAATTTCTTTCCTAAACTTTAAGTCATACTGGTTATGTTTTTTCTCACGTAAAGGCATTTTCTATTAACTTTTTAATGGTACAGCTCAAATTTACCAAGAAACAATTTTGTTCAGTTTTAGAACAAGAATTTAAATTAAATTAAATGTCCCAACAACCTATATAATGGGAGGTAGTGGAGGAGCAAGGAATATATATACAGTCAGTTTATAAATGATGTATATTAACAATACAAAGTAAAGCAGAGTAAGTTTCAGAAATAATTCTGAAAACTAGATATAACCGTACATAATCTTAAACAGGATTAAGCACTAATAGTTAAAGAATATTCAAAACTTTGACACATCAAACAACAGCAATTCTCTGTGACTCTACCTGTTCTTGAGTCAGGACAGAGAGGGAGTTACCCTCAGGGAAGACCACAGAAAGAGGCTGAATCTTTGTCCCATTGTCCAGTTCTACATCGTCCACTTCAGCTAATATCTTTGTTCCACTGCAAACAAAGAAAAGGAAGTCAATGACATTGGTTTCACAAATTAACCACCTGATGGTTAATTAATGGTTAAACCTGATGATTAACTACTGGATTAGTGAATAATTGTTCGTTAAATCACCACAAAAGCAGAAAGTATATGAAAAGGCCAAGAGCACATATAGTATGTTAGTATGAGTGTGTGTGAGTGTGTGAGTGAAAACAAACATTGGATATCCCACAGCCAAAAGGGTGAGTGTCGCTGTAGTACTGCTTTGCAGAGGGACAGGGGGCAGCAGGATCTGAGGAGGGTGGAAGGTGAGACTAAGAGGCCGGACAGTGATGGTGATGTCCAGCTCTCTGTAGGGATGCTGTTCTTCCCCCTTACTCTGACCCTCCTCTTCCAGGTAAAGAAGGAGAGACAGTGGGATTATTCCACCAGGCTCTAGGAGAAAACAAAAACCAAAACACTGTTTAAAACATGTGTCAGAAGTCATTTATTTGTATTTCTAGACCAGTTATAGTACAACCAAAGAATATCGATCCATTTTACATTTACTCCACTGGTTACTGAAAATTCTATTCTAGCCTATTATTCTATTATAATAAGCATTATGATCAATTAAGATTTCTAAATTCTAATTTGACATTTTTTTTGGTTGTTTCTCATTTATTTTGACATAACCTTAAAGATCTTTTGGCTTTGGACATGTAGTAATCCATCATAATGGTCAGATGTCAGAGTGTTTCTAATTACCTAATGGGATAACCTCAGGTGTGATGCTGACTGTTACGCTGACGGACTGTCCAGGCCCCAGACAGCCACTGGATGGACTCGCTGAGCAGAGCGCCTTTTCTCTGCTGCCCTCTACTGGATCCGCTATTGAACTGCACTTAAACCACCAGTTTAAGCGCTTACTGCTGATGCTGCGCCAGCAGATACTCTGTTCGCACACTGCTTTTAGCTCCACTGTCTGAAAGGAACCACAGTCGTAGAGAGGACATGCACGTATGTTAAAAAGTAAAATAAATAAATAAATAAATCGTTAATTTATTTAACACAGAAGGAGGAAAGGAAAGGAAAAAAGAAGGGTCAAAAGGAAGGAACAAGGAAGAACATATGGTAGGATGTCAGGGAGGAAAGTAAGGATGAGGAGTTTAGATGAAAGAAACAACGGAAAGGTGTTAAGAAAGGTGTTAAGAAAGGAAAAAGGGAAATAGGAAGAAGGAAGGAGGGAGGGAAATACAGAAGGGGAAATTGAATACGGAAATAAAAAAGAAGCAATAGATAAGAAAGAAAGACAGACAGACTGGACTCAATACCTTCTGATTCACTAATAACTTGGACTGTACTGTCTGTGGGACTAAGGCATCCATGTGGAACTGTAGGCTGGAGGGAGACATTTCTACTGGGGCACAAACAACTGAAACACAAATAAATAATGTGAGAAAATGTAGCAAAATTATTTTTATGTAGCTACAAACTTTAGACTTTCTATGTAGAAAGTTGAAGTATAAAGTTGTTCAGCTGTCAGTTTCCCCACCTGTGGCCTGTATGCGTAGTGAGTGAGGCACCAACATGCCGACACAGCGGGAATGCTGGACCATGTGTTTCCACGTTAATGCTGACATTGAGGAGGACAGGGATGGAAAAGACGGCGTGGGGGCCGAAGAAGAAGAAGCAGAGAGCCATCTCTCACCGTTACAGATCAGAGGCAGATCAAAGTCGTATCCAGCCACCTGAAGGAAGACATTTATCCTCTTTAATGAAAAGATATCTGCAGTGGCTCAAAAAAGGTCGGAACACCTCTCTACTCTACAGCAGGAGTGAGAGCTGTGACTGGGGGGTGCGTGAGATAAAAAATGTGGTGTGGAGTGTTTCTGTAAGTGGGATTTATCCACATTTCATTATATCTCACACCAAAAATGTATGATTTTGATTGAAATGTAAAAATAATATCTGGACAACTAGGTCCTGACACTTTAACAAGTGTGTTACAACTTCCACAACTGACAGTAAGTTGAAAAATATTTGCTGCTGCAAGACAAGTGGAGACCAAATATTCTGTAGGAATATTAAGCTTGGGTCTGACCTGAGTCGGTGAGAGGACCAGGGAACAGTGTATGCTCTCTTTGCTCTGCACCTCCATGACACTCACTCCTGCCTCCCTTTCTGAAAACAAAAACAAAAATGATAACAGTGAGTACATTCAGAAGTATTTAAATGTCATATCTGTCCCTGTGTATATTTATGGGAACGAATGTTTACTGGTTGACGGATGAGGGAGATGAACAGTGAAGTCTGTGTAACGTGACAGGTCAAAGGTCAGTCGTGCTGCAGCAGAGGAGTGGTTTGTCAGAGTGAAAGGAATCTTCCTCCGAGAACCAGCGTGTACGACAGAAAACTGGAAACGGGGCTGAAAAATAGAAGAGAAAAAAATTGTACAAGAAGACAAGAGCACCAAGGGTCAAAGTAAGATCTGAGACTGACACAGACTTACCACACTGACTTCTACATTTGGAGGCTCCACTGATCCATTCACCCTTAGTTCAATGGACTTCATGTTCCTCATGGATATCTGAAGTCATAACCACACAAATTATTTCTGCATATTTCATATTTCTTTCCATCCTTTTGATCCTTTGTTAATTGATTACTTCTAATCTGATCCCCTAGGTCTACTTACATGTAACTGAGTTATGACGTCTCTTACCTTCACTCTAGTGTCAAACTTAATGACAGAATTGGGGGTAAAGAGGACCTTCAGTGCACTCTGGCCCCCACAGGGAATCACACCCTCCCAGGGACTGACTATCATGCCAGGCAGAGGGCTCAAATCTTGAACCTGCCTCAGACAACCACACAAAGAGAAGGAAACATAAGTGAGCCATACTGCCCCTGTCTCTTTGGTAAGAATCAGCACTGTTCTGTGTGGCAGGGCACCTGGTAGTAGGCGTGGTTCGGTCCAGCGTTGTGAAAAATAGCAGTTCTGACGGATGGCATGTTGAGAGGAACTGACCCAAATATGAGCTGCTTCTCTGATAGCTGGACCTGAGTTGATCCAATCTGTGGGGAGATTAAACAACAGGTAGGATGTATTTGTGTTGTGAAAGATTTGACCAAAGATGTTCTTGAAACATTCAGAGCTAACACATATCGGACTTTTAACTAGCATTCTCTGACTAGCATTTCTTATGGCTAAGTTTCAGCTATTTGTGCTATATATTCTTGGCTTTCTTTAAACTTATCCAGCAGCTTCGAGTGCCCCCCCCCCCCCCCCCCCCCCCCCC